ACAATAGCGGTCTTTAGTGAGTGAGTGAGTGAGTGAGTATGGTTTTATGCCACTTTTTAGCAATATTCCATCAATATCACGGCGGGGAACACTGGAAATGGGCTTCACACATTGTACCCATATGGGGAATCGAACCCGGGTCTTAAGCATTGCAAGCGGACGCATTAACCACTTGGCTACCCCACCGACTCCTGTCTTCAGTGACACATACAACAAAAATATCTCGTTGAGTTCTGTATAAGTGACTAATGAAACACAATTTTACACAACAGTTCCACAAAAGACCAGTAAAATCCTAGTGATTTTGAACTGAACATGATTTGATCATAAGGAAATACATACACAAATTCAGCTCACTCTTTCTAATCTTTACACTAGATATTTACACAGCCAGAAATTAAGATAATTACAATTTATATGTGCATGTAGGGCTGAACAGACACCACAAATAGTTTTTATGGAAATGACATTAAAATTGCAAAAAGTTTATTTACGATGATGATGGAGGAGGCGAGTTATCATTATAAATGGTTACAGTTATAAATGGTTACAGTTATAAATGGTTACAGTTATAAATCTCAACCACAAAATCATGAATAAAATCAACACAAGAAAATCCAAACCATCAACTTTCCTTCATCCAATGTAAATCAATGATCAAAATACATACACACTGTTCGCAACTATCAAGCAGAAAATCACAAGACATGAGCACAACCATTAAATCCGATTCAGTCAATAGTTCCATCCATTTCCACAAAAATCAACCCTAAATCTGTTCTTTGCATGAAAACACCTCTGTAGATGTTCCACAACCCAGGGCCAAGTACGACACTTAGTCTGCGACACCTAGTCTCCAAGCTGGAATCATCAAGACTACAAAGAAAGCAATTTGGTCCACTGTTGTCGCTTCTTACTTATTCATGTCCGAGCATCAAACGTCTCCTTCAGCATAGGGCTCGGTGCTAGGCAATGTCCTATTGCCTAAAACCACTGCCTTGATGTTTGGTTTAAAAGATCACGCCATCCTAATGTCCATTTGGGCATCAGCTAAAAACACAGCGAGCTGAATGCTGGTCTACATCTGCAGACAAAATCTTTGACATTTTGTCATTAGGAATCCTCTTTGTGAGGAGCCATTGCGATCGTCTGCCGTGTGAAGTCGGAATAACCTGCAGTCTGTGTATTCAGGAGTTACCAAGTTAAGGGGGGGATTTGGAGGTATTGTGACAAGATTTAACAAGATTTCGATTCTCGGGCTTAGAGGCGCTTCTTTGCTAGCTCGTAAAAAATGAAACAGACAACGAATATGCTTTCAAAAATGTGAATGTACATGAGGCATTATTGGGAGGATTGAGATAGGATAGTCACCTTACCACAGGCCGTGCTTAGTGACAAATAATAGGCCTCTATATAGATCCCTACTCAGTATTATCTAAGAAAGTGAATGAGTGAGGATTAAAGTAGCTTTGAAAACTATTTCAGCTGTGTGACAGCGACATAAACACTTTACACCATGGGGCAACAAGCGTCCCTTACATCAGCAGACAGAGAGACTAGATTTAACCATAACATCATATCCTTATTCAGGCCTGGAGGTTTATACATATCCTACTCTAAAAGTTAAAGAACGCCAGATTCTTTCATGTTTCTAGTTAAACCACCATTTCCTGACCGAATGAAAGGATCAGTTGGCCCATAACTTCAAGAAGTACACATACTCATGGGTTCCAGAGGACCATGCTACCAGTGTCCATCAAATACCTCATCCCTTGAGTAGTCTGTCTCACAGTCCCTGAACCACATTCATTTCCCTACTGCCTGGTGAGTGAGTGAGTGAGCAAGTCAATGTTTCAGTTATCTCACAGCATGTCACCTGGATAAGCTAGGAGGAGGGGATGAGCATGTCACCTGGATAAGCTAGGGAGTGAGTGAGTGAGTGAGTGAGTGAGTGAGTGAGCAAGTCAATGTTTCAGTTATCTCACAGCATGTCACCTGGATAAGCTAGGGAGGAGTGAGGAGTGAGTGAGTGAGTGAGTAAGCAAGTCAATGTTTCAGTTATCTCACAGCATGTCACCTGGATAAGCTAGGGAGTGAGAGAGTGAGTGAGCAAGTCAATGTTTCAGTTATCTCACAGCATGTCACCTGGATAAGCTAGGGAGTGAGTGAGTTGAGGAGGTGAATCTCAAGCAATGTTTCAGTTATCTCACAGCATGTCACCTGGATAAGCTAGGGAGGGAGTGAGTGAGTGAGCAAGTCAATGTTTCAGTTATCTCACAGCATGTCACCTGGATAAGCTAGGGAGGGAGTGAGTGACTGAATGAGTGACTATGGTTTTATGCCGCTTTTAGCAATAATCCAGCAATATCAAGGCAGGGGACACTAGAAATGGGCTTAACCCGTTGTACCCCTGGGTCTTCAGCGTGAAGAGCGAACACTTTAACCAGATAAGCAAATGAAACAAAATGACGAGTTACTAACTTGGGTTTAAAGCCTCATTATACAACATTCCATTCATGTCAAGGTTAGTCAGTGTAATTGGGGACGTAAACTGAAGCGATGCAGAGTGAGAGAGTGAGTGAGTGAGTGAGTGAGTGAGTGAGTGAGTGAGTGAGTGAGTGAGTGAGTGAGTGAGTGAGTTTGGTTTTACGCCACTTTTAATACATTCCTGCAGTATCACGGTGGGGAACATCAGAAATAGGCTTCACATTGTACCCATGTGGGGAATGGAACCCAGGTGTTTGGCATGATGAGCGAATGCTGTAACCACAAGGCTACCCCACCGCCCCTGCAGATCAAAGACACATACTACAAAGATCCATGACCATAGTTATGTTGGTGACATACCAAGAAACGTAATCAGGATGAATCTGGGATTCGAACCACCGATCACTTAGTTCCGCAACACTGCATGGCTAACTACAGCACCTGAGATGACTTGTCAACCATGTCCCTAATTGTCTAGATACACCAAACACAGGGCCCTGACCACAGTCCATTGTGTGTGTCGTACCTGACCTACAATTGTCAGTGTTAAATCAAGCATATGAGTAAGTGTGTAATACTCCAGCTTATAACAGTAGAGAATACCAAGACTGGTCTCGCACATGCTACCCAGGTGTACAGTCCAATCAGCTCTAGTCTGTCATACAGACCCTGAAGCAAATATATCCAAGAAAGCCAATGCAAGTCCAGAACACGTAGAGCGTAAGGTCGTGGGTTCAATCCCCGGCCACGTCATACCAAAAGACGTTAAAATATAATATTTGTTGGTCCCTGCCTGACGCTCAGCATTAATGGGTAAAATAAGGGCTGGTCGGCTCAGAGTCAGTATAATGTGTCTGAGTGGTGTGTTCATGGTAAACTGTGATATCTCAGTGAGCTAGCACTATAAAACTAGCTTAAGTCTGGGCTAGTACAAGCAGCCACACATACACAAACATGCACGTCGTCATATCAGCGAAATATTCTTAAGTACAAGTTAATCCCCACTTCACCTCACCTAGAAAATGTGGCAAGTCTAGATTTCCACAGTTTCAGGAAAATGAAGAAAGTCTATGGTCTCATTTTTATAATATTTTATGATATTTTATGTGCACAGTATTATGTTCTTTTCAGAGACTAGAGGTTAGTCTAAACCAACCCGTATCAACTCACTAAACTCAGCCCATTCAGACAATTATTGAAGAACACATGCCGAGGATTAGTCATAAGAGAATCCGAACTATAACTATTAAATAAGGAATGAAATAATCCGTCTTCATGAAAATCCATACCTGTCATTATTTAGTATGTTATACAATCAGCACAGCTCAACCCTCATCCTAGCAGCTGCCAGCATCGCAAGATGCCGACTTAATTGTAACGATCAGGTGAAACTAATGAAGGCCTCCATATAGAGTTCCCCAAACTAATTCATTATCATTATATTCCAAACCAGTGCATGACAAGATTTCAACATAAAATCATTAATCAACCTGCCCTGATTGCAGCCATGCTGGTAATGACCTGGTCACACTCGCTGATGCTATTATCCCTACAACCGATTTTTACACTAATTGCGAATTATCAATAGCATTGACAGTCTATTGACATGTTTTTCTTTTATGTTACGATGCATGCAAACTAGACGATAGCTTTAAAGAATTCATTGCTCTGGGTAATTGTCCCTCTTTCTCTCATTGTATCACAATAACTGTCGTCGGGCTGGCGTTATGCTTAATCTGCCAAGCTTTGATGTTGGTAAACAGGCTGTATTATACAAGCAGTATGGCCTAGGCAGCAAGCCCACAGGACACGCGGCAACAGTAGCCAGTGATTAGTCACGCTCAACTCGGGCACTTCACCAAATACTCAGCCCGTAATAATATCGTGAAATCTAATGTTAAACGTGAACCTTTCTTTAAAGTCTTTGACGGATCATTTGTGTTCATGTCAAGCAATGTTTCTTGAATTTAAAAGGAAATTAAGATTGATAATGTTTTGAAGCAGGAAATTCTTCTTGATTGGAGTAAATCAGGGTATAATTACACAAGAATGACAGACGGGGAGCATGTTTTGCCATTTAGCGTAAATTACAACACATGATTTTCACTATTACCACTGGGAGTGAATGCTCCATGTAATTAATCTCCTTTTGATGGGTTCCTCCATCTACCAATTCCATGCTCCCACCAAACCAGACATTGTGGACATCTAATGCCCATTCAAGTCAACATTAAGAGACTTAGGACTCGATGACTCACTACAAATGAAGGTAGAAAGTTAACACTATTACAAGAAAAGGTGCAGTTTCAGATGAAATAAATAAATGGCAAATGCATTTTAAAAATCTTTCTTGGAAAAGAACAACTTGAGAAAATGAAAACCTGGGCCTAGATTTTCGAAGCTCTCTTAGCGTTAAGATAGTTGTAAGTGCCATACATTAACATTAACTTACGACTATCTTAGTGCTAAGAGAGCTTCGAAAATCTAGGCCCTGTATATTTTAAATGGCTTACCTTGCCCACAACGGAGAGACATTTGATTGGCTCATGCTCCTCCAGTTTCACCACGCCCACCCAGCCGAAGTCGTACACGTCATCGTAGATCTGCGTATTACATAGGCCCAAAGGATGTAGCTGCAACAAGATACATGAAACATGTTAAAATGGCAATTCATATATCTGCAGATGAACAATAAAAAAATCTTTATGACAGAAAATATTCAACATGATTTTCATGAAACGAAATACCTTAAAAAATTTTTACATATTTCTAAAAATGTCACTTTTAATGAATATAAACATGGTATGTTTTTTCACTTGTACAGAGAAACCATTTTAATCTGGAAACCTGCTCTTTAAACAAATTCTGACAGGTATGGTTTTTATTGGAGACGTACAATCTTACATAGTTTGGGGGTGGGGGTGGGGGGTGGTTTAAATGGTAATTTTCAATGAAAACTGTTCGTATCAGAGACTATACTGGGAGAAAGTGGAGTGGAACGTTCACTGGATGCCTGCGTGGGTTGGCTAGGCTGGGCTGAACATTGAAAACATTACATATTAGCTTTAAGCCAAAGGTTCTGCATGATAAAGATTATATTGTTGGAGAAACTGACTGACAGGAATCAGTGCTGATGCGAAGAAAGTCTCAGGGTTCCTTTTCATTATATATATATTTTTTTATTGTGAACTTTTTTTGTGTGTGTAAAATATGTTCATTTGAGAGACTAGTTGTCAGTCTAAAGGTCTCATTATAAGGATGAATGTGGGATTCCAACCATCAGTAGCGGTTCTAGTACTGCAATATAAGTATGGCTAGTAATGTGTTAGACTAATGACTACCCTTGTACCCAACTCTGTAACTCAACACACACTCAGACTGCATGGTATTACCGGTAAACCGCAATACGCTTTTCAAGCGATACATATTTTAATATTTCTTCTGAGAACTGGTATATTGGGTAGAGAACATATAATTATGAAGTTTTTGTGATTATCTTTATGGTTTGAATTAAAATCTACACAGACTTTCATTCACAACAGATGTTTCTAACTTCGCTATTCAATGACAAAACGGCATACTGTAATACTATAAATTTATGAAAAAGACAATAGAATCATTGACTATGCAACCTAAGTTTGAGATTGCTGTTATCAGAACCATAACATATATTTTTAGGGACTCACAATGTACAAAATAGGATCGACATGTATAATAAGTGTCACTCACTGTCAAACACTTAAGTTCCCAATATATCCCAATATATACGGGTACCTGGATCGCAATATATTGTAATACAATGTATTTGCCAATACACTGCCCTAACACACACCCATCCAAAATCTCTAACCCATGCAGCCAACCAACCCCCAGTCCCAAAGTCCAACACCCCCACATACCAATTTAAAAAACACAAAACCAAATGCACCCCCCCAACCACCACCACAAACACACACTCTTTCTCACCACTTTCATTGTATTTAACACACAACCTCGATGTCTAGAAACTCTTTTAACCTGAATACCTTTGAAGTCTACTTAACTATCCCACTACAGACACCAGAGATAGAGCTTGTTGATAGTATCTACATTATTGCCAAGACTGGCCGTGACTACACTTTTTAATCAGACCATCTCCAGAAGCAATAAAAAAAGATACCAATTTGAGAAATAAACTTCAGAGATATCATAAAACATGTAGATTAATCAAGATACATCTCATTCCCCTATACAGGCGAGATAATTCTCCAATATTTGGACAGGACCAGGCCCTTCCCATTTAACATTCTTTACCCAAGACTAAGCCTTTGTTGTGGTCTTTACCTACGACCTCAATTACCTGTGTTAGGTGACCCCGCACAATGCTAGAACCCCGAGGTCACCCATGGCTCAAGATCAAGTGATACTGTATTGGTGATCAGCCAGGCTAAGGACAGTGCGCCGGGTTAATGGTTTCGCCAGATGTATGGACGGTTTGATGTTGTGTTACAGAGGGTTATCAGGGATAACCTGTCTTTGTCAAGTTCCCTCTGAGGACACGGTGATCTAATTGATTGAGCAGAATGGCGGGATGAATGTACACCTGACACGCACACAGACTATGAAGTACTGATTGTCTTGGACATTTCATTAACCATCCTGCGATAAATCCCTTTAGCAATCATAGACATGGAAGACAAATCACTTGGTTGGTAGTTTCTGGCAGTTATGGTCCAGTATCACGTAGGACATGGGTACTGGCTGTCGTATTACCCCGTGGGACAGAAACCATTAATAGCCAGTTACACAATAATCAGGGGACGGTGATAGGCAATAGAATTCTCACAAATGATATATTCCTTGTAGCTTCACCTGTGAGATCTTGATGCTTGGATGACATAACATAGAATAGACTGCTAATGGCGTGATTCCATCCCTCCGACCCAGTTTGTCAGGACCTCATTATGACTGGTATCCATTTGTGATTTATTCCATATCATCAAATTAGATTTGTTACAACTGAGTCCTAAGTAACTGAAAACTTGAGGGAAGTCAGCTTCTCAGAACATGCACTTAGACAACACTGAGTGAGTGAGTGAGTGAGTGAGTGAGTTAGTTTGGTGTTACACAGCTTTTAGCAATATTCCAGCAATATCATGGTGGAGACACCAGAAATGGGCTTCACACATTGTACCCACGTGAGGAATCGAACCCGGTTCTTTGATGTGATGATAGAACACTTTAGCCACTAGGCTACCCCACCACCCCAGTGAGTGAGTGAGTGAGTGAGTGAGTGAGTGAGTGAGTGAGTGAGTAGTGAGTGAGTGAGTGAGTGAGTGAGTGAGTGAGTGAGTGAGTGAGTATCACACCATGGTATTGAACCTGGGTCTTCTGTGTGAAGAGCATATGCATTAACCACTGGGCTATCAGTCCCACAAGTATAGAGAGAGTGGGAAGTTAACATTGCTTTGACTGACAGTGTTTCAGATAATAAAACAACATGTTCAAGGATATCTTAAACTGATACAGGCCCTACAGGTTAACCACTTTGGTAAAAAGCCCAGTAAGGACACAGTCCGGACACAGATCAAACAAGGATTCGAACCTATGATTGCCCTTCAAAGGGAAGCACCTCTGCTAAGACCACTGGACCACCTACTGCCCCTCGCTCTATTTCACTCCTGTTACCCTTTATCTTGCTCCGTCGCCCCCTCCACCCTCACCAATGTTGCTGAACATGTTACAACCACCACCCACCCCCTGTCGGCCATGTTGCCACCAGGCAGTCTATTTTTGTTGAAGTCAAATACACATCTCCGCAAGATGTACATGGCTGAGGACGATAACCCAGGAATTTGGGGCCAACATCAATGACTAGGTGTTATCAATGGTAATGATGGTTATCGTTTGTCTTTATAGTGTTATCATTGGGTGATATGACAACAGATGGATCCTGGGAACCGAGCTGAATCTAAACACCTCTCACTTCTCTCTCAAGTGTTTTTATCATGTTAATCTAGCTATCAGCCCAAGGTATTTACACTACCAATGTCTAACTTGCACACAAACTTGGCACGAACTGACATTAGAAATTCACACCGGAGTGCTCTAAGTCAAACTGTGAAAACTTGGTAATTTGGACCTGCTTCAAGACTGTTACCTTGAACGTCATCAGCAGTTATTACCTATCTAATTAAGCTCAGTATTGGTTGCTTCCAGACATAATGACATCATACCAAAGTGAAAACATTCACAACTGAGAGAAGGTATATGGTAGCTATGGTATGGAACAATACACTCATAGTGGTAAAAAGCGGCTTGTCTGTGGAGTGCTATCAGTTAATGCAGCTTGTCTGTGGAATACTACAGTTAGAGCAGAGAAAAGCAGCTTGTCTGTGGAATACTACAGTTAGTGCAGAGAATAGTAGCTTGTCTGTGGAATACTACAGCTAGTGCAGAGAATAGCAGCTTGTCTGTGGAATACTTTGTGCAGAGAATAGCAGCTTGTCTGTGGAATACTACAGTTAGTGCAGAGAATAGCAGCTTGTCTGTGGAATACTACAGTTAGAGCAGAGAAAAGCAGCTTGTCTGTGGAATACTACAGCTAGTGCAGAGAATAGCAGCTTGACTGTGGAATACTTAGTGCAGAGAATAGCAGCTTGTCTGTGGAATACTACAGTTAGTGCAGAGAAAAGCAGCTTGTCTGTGGAATACTACAGTTAGTGCAGAGAAAAACAGCTTGTCTGTGGAATACTACAGTTAGTGCAGAGAAAAACAGCTTGTCTGTGGTATACTTAGTGCAGAGAAAAGCAGCTTGTCTGTGGAATACTACATTTAGAGTAGTACACTAGATAACACTATACTTTTCACAGAAGCAAATAATTCCTTTAACATTGTGAACCTTAGGAAATCTAGACTTGCTTCATTTAGGACTTAAGCACTCTAGAAAGAGATCGACAGAAGCAAAATTAATATGGTTCAGGGACTGTGAGACAGACACAAAGCGCAGAGATAAACTGCTTCTCTATGGAATACTGAAACTGGAGCAGTCAGTGAGTGAGTGAGTTTAGTTTTACACCACAATATTCCAGCCAGACCATCCAATTATCAACAGCATGAGTCTGATACATAATAGATTCTGGACCAGACAATCCAATGATCAACAGCATGAGCATCGAACCCAGATGACATATGTCCAACAAAGTGATTGGGGTAGCGTTAAAGCCTGCACCACCGAAGATCCCGTTAGTCACGAAACTGGAGCAGAGAAAAGCATCTCCACTACATACAGAAGACTACAGATGAAACCGAAAATCTCCTACACAATGGAGCAGTACAATAGCAGAAGATAAAAGTAGCTCCACACCAGAATACAGTCATACCAAGATGAGAGCCAAATGTTTCCAGAACAGTAATGCAGTCCTGTTGATACAGGGGACTAAAACAAATTAAACCTTGAGCTCAATGAATGAATTGATTACACATTTGGCTGACTGACAATCCCAGTTTTGTGGGAAGTCCACTCTGCTTAGGTGCCCTCTAATGACCACCTCGCCTTCAGAAACTTGGGTCCATGCTGTAAAGATCTAGCAGGGGTATGGATGTTGTGTTATTTTTGTCATCATCTCATGGACTTTAACCTTTTAAACATGGA